CCAGGTCCCTTCCTTTGATTGCAATGTATAAACACAGATGTAGCCCACCATTCTCTGGAGCATTATCTCAATCCATTGAGGTTCTGCTTCCCAGCAATTGTCGACAGTTTGGCTCAAATAAACTCACAAGATTCTCTACAGGTTTGAATGTTGTTATGTTACCAACATCATCTTCCAGGGCTCAGTGGCCCTACCCTGAGCTTAAACAGGCTGGGTGCCCCTCATGTCCTCTGCCTTCCCCGAGACACGGGGAGGAGGCATGGACAGCAGAGGTGGGTGGAACTCCCTGGATCCGGGGGGCAGTCTGGACTGGAAGCATGCCGTGCAGTTTGTTCCTGTCTGTGGTTCAAATCTCCACTCAGTCACTTATTAGCTATTGAGTCATTTATTGCTTCGAAGCCTCAGTGTTCCCGTCTATGAATGGAGATGAAATGGACTGTCATTTACTGGGCCCCGGCTATGTCACCTGAATTAAAAACTCCAGTCCTGGCCTTTGCTTGCTGTGTGACCCTGGGCAAATGGCATCACTACTTGATATCCTTAGAGGTGAAATGGGGCCAATGATAACAGCTGATGGGTTACCAGAATGCGTGCACTGTCAGGTATGGGTTAAATGAGATAGTGTGTGTGTGTGTGTGTGTGTGTGTGTGTGTGTGTGTATATGCCTGATTTGGCAATAGTACCTGTACATGGTAACACTCCACAAAAAGCATATCTGTTATTTTTTATTTTCTTCTGATTGTTATTTTTTTAATAAACATGTTTTTATTGATTTTTAAAGAGAGAGGAAGGGAGAGGGATAGAGAGATAGAAACATCGCTGAGAGAGAAACATCATCAGTCAGCTGGCAATCAAATACCCTGATGGGGAATGGGGAATCAAACCGCTGACCTCTTGGTTCAGGGTCAATCACCCGCTGAGCCTCACTGCTGGGCTGATTGTTATTCTTATTTCTTTTCCTCCTCATCCTCTTTATTGTCACCGTTTTTACCTGGTGTCCCTGTGTGAAATGTTTTTCAATGCTTTTCCCGCGTCTGACTCTGAGTTTTTCATATCAAAGCTCTACATTACATGGATGCTTTATTAATGTTGGTTTCTTCTGTCGAGGCTTCTGTTTGTCTATCTGGCTACCAGGGTGGTTTCAAAGACCAGGTTCCTGGGTTACCCCCTTCTGTGCGGAGGCACTTGTGGAGGGCATTGCCAGGGGCCTGCAGGAGGGAGAAGACCCCACCTCCCCTTCAGCACGTTCCCTCTCCAGGCAGCGGGAATGAAAATGTCTAAGAAGACATGTCTGGTGTTCTTCCCCTGGGACCGAAGGCAGCAGTTCTGCCTCCGTGTCTGCACGACTTGTTATCAGAAAATTAGACTAGAAAAAGAATCTTTTGTTCAGCTATGGAGACATCTTAATAGGCGCTTTGATTGTTAAGCAGAAGTTTCTGTATCAGTTTAATTGCTGTAAATGCTGTTTGCCTTCTCTGTTATGATAAGGCCTCGATTTTCATAGATTTCCACCCCCCCCCCCCCCCACACACACACACACACTTTCCCTTTAAACGGTTTCCCTTTGCTTTAAGGCTTGCATTGGCAAGTGTAATGAAATCGAAACGCAGAAAGTAAAGGGAGGATCTCAGAGTTCAGCTCTTCACACCCCGTGTGATGCTGTGAGCAGGTTATTATAGCCTGAGAAGAACGCTGCTGCAGTTCGTAATGTAATGGACAGAGTTCACCCTTCAACCAGATATTGGGAGAATGAAACCAAACGACTAAACTTAATTACTTCTGCTTTTTCGAGACGGCGCTGTAATTGAGAATAACAGGATAATTAGGCTCTGAGTGGAACAGTGAGATGTGCTTATAATACAAGAGGACTTGCTGTCTGCTGACTTGAGCCTCAGGAACACCATCCGGGTCATTTGGGGACTGAGGGTTAGAGAGATGCCTGGAGAAGGGAAAACATCTGGATCTGGGATTCTCATCCTTGGCGCCATTGACTTTGGGGGTGGTTAGTTCTGTGCTGTGGGGGGCTGTCCTATGCACTGTAGGATGCTGAGCAGCATCCCTGGCCTCTACCTGTTAGATACCAGTAGCATCCTCCCCACCCTAGCCTGACAACCAAACATGCCTCCATTCATTGCCCAATGTTCCTGGGGGCCATCAGTGCCCCTGGCTGAGAACACTGGTGTAGGGCTTTCGGAGGACTTGTGAACAATTGCAGTTACAGCTTGAGGATCTGCTAGTGCCTGGCTGTGTGACCTTCAGCAAGTCCCTGTACCTCTCTGAGCTCCTGTGTCTTCCTTTGTACAGCGGGAATAATGGGAACCCTGAGTGCAACAAGGCACAGCTTCCGGGTGGAAACTCCGACGGGTGACACGTACTGAGTGATCAATAAACTCAGGGTTTATATTATAATAATCTTAGATTCCGCAAACATGTTTTAAGCACTTATTTTGACCCCACCCCTATGCTCTGAGGCAGTGAGACAGAGACAAAGATGTGGTCTCTGTGCTTGCTGGGGAGGCAAATATATGCAGACTTGTGGGTACGGCCTTATGCTTCGCCCTGCAGGCATTGCTAGTCAATCTCCCAGGTCTTTCCTAGCGAGCCTCCGAATCCCCTCAACACACCTTTCCCACAGCCCTGCTGATGCTCCGGGAGATGGAGCTCCCCGGTGGCACTCCGTTCTGTGGATTCCGCAGGAGGCGGCGGTGTATCTGAGCTGGCCCTCCCCTCCAGCACAGCTTCACCCCTTCGCCCATCCCTGGCCCCGGAGAAAACATTTTAAGGAATTAGCAGGTAGAATCCATCCTCTCAAATCTCACTTCAGTCCCCAAAGGAGATGGCAAAAGAAAGCACGCGTGTGTGTTCTCTCTCTCTCTGTCTCTCTCTCTCTCTCAAATTTTTTTCTTTTTTGTTTGCTTGTTTGTTTCTCAGAAACTAAACAAGCAGTAAAATGGGCTTATAAAAGGGGTGACATTTAGTTTTTAGTTAAACTAGAGGGATTCCACTGGCAGTGATTCTGAGTGAGTGATCTATCAGCTGTGTCCCTCTTGTGTTTTCCCTGCCCTTTGGGGCTTGGAGAATCATTAGCTCTCTGAGAAAGGGTTCTAGGGCAGAACTGGGGTTTCTGGAAACAGCTTTCAGATGGCTGCCGCCAGTGTCATGAGACTGAAGAGAGGGTTTAAATGAGCTGGGGGTTAAATGCTCCCTGATCGGTTCCGACAAGCCCGGCTCCCACATGAGCACACAACTCCATTACAATTGCTGTGAAAAACGAGGCGTGCATTTGCAGCTCGGAAAACAGGGAGCTGGCCCCATCCATCCGGCCTGAGAAATGAGAGCTGGCGTGCGGGTCAGCCTCTGGCTTCTCCTCGCCCTGGCTGGTGGAGCTTTCACAGGCAGCACTAGTTCATTTCTGCTGTTGTTTCACACCTCTCAGCGCCTTCAAGGTCTGTGAGGAGCTGGGAAGTGGAGGGAAGGTGGGGGTTGGGGCTCAGTCTGCAGAAAGAGTCCCAGAACTCAGTCAGTGGAGGTCACTGGGATTTAGTCTAAGATAAAAAAGAAAAGCCCAGATGGGGACAGGAATCCAGTCTGAAGTCTGTGTGATGTATTGTTTCCCCCTCATTCCCATCCATCCATCCATCCACCTAGCAATTCATTCACCCATCTACCCATTTGTCCATCTATCCAGTCATCTGTCT